CCTCGTGGCAAAGAGGGTATCATCAGATGAGAACCCGACAGATCCCCTCACGAAGGGACTGGGTAGGGTCAAGCATTTACAACATGCGAGGCGCATTGGGCTGAAGGATGATATTAGTTTTAATGATTAGATAGCTCTTGAAACTTGTAATAGTTGAAATGTAATTGACATTTAATGCTTAATAAAAGGTGTCTTTTATTTACTAGTATGGTACTGTCTTGTGTCTATCATTTACTATTGTTTCACTTTGCATGTTTTGACTTCCAGAATAATTATATTATTCAAACTATCCACATTCGATCATACGTTGGAAGTAGGTATTAAATCAAGACTCTCATGAATTTGGTTTGTAGATTTGTCTGAATGGTATTAGACATAGCAAAGTTTGCTGCAACATTCATGAGTGCTCATAAGGTCTGAGTATTGGATTAAACCCACGCTCACTTGTATCACTTCATGGAATTCATCTAGAGTGATCGTGAGATGATAATATCATATAAGTCTTCAAACCTAGATATATGAGTTGTTGATTATGAGTTGGTTGTACATCGATGGTACGAAAACACATCAGTAACTCGATGTTATAAAACGTCCTGTTGTGTATGATTTAATAAATAGTTAGTACAAGCATATACTGTTGAAGTTTATCTGCTCCTTTTAGTCCTTGGAGGATTAAAAGCGATATCTTGGGCCCCTCGATGATTTTGTTTTGACCTATGTGTCGGGCCTGGTTAGAGCTAAATTGATTTGTTCAATTAAGTTTTATGTCAAACAAATCGGAAATCGGGAAACAAATTGTTGGTCAATAAGATTGATTGTGTTCCATGTGTTTGTCCGAGTGATATCTTAAGAGCATAGGATTATATGATCACTTATCTAAAATGGTACGTCTAAGTTCGACAAAGGCATTTAAGAGCCACGACTGCTAGTCAGATCCTTAAGTTATACTTACAACTATAATTATTAGACTTATCCAAGTGGGAGACTGTTGGATAAGGTGTCTAAGTCCATAACTATATTTGGTATGTACTTGACCCGAGAGTAGCATGATCCATTTGGGTTGCACTTCACTGGAACAATCTATAAGGATGGACTTTTGAGAAGAGGTTATTTATGGTTTATTAATATATTATAAGTTCTAATATATTAATATAAAATAATATTATTTAGTTAGTATTAATCAAGAATTAATTTGGAATTAATTTTGTGATCAAAAGAGACTAATTAAATATATGGGGATTGATTGTGTAAATCATTCATTCTTATAAAGTGAGCTTATGATCCATAGTTCTTTATGTTGGGCTAAACTTATATGGTGATCCATGGATACTCCATGGAGGTTAAAACCCATGGAGCCTAAGGAATGTGGAAAGTCATGCACATTAAGGTTTGCATGGTGTAACCTTAATCATAACACACTATATAAGAAACCCCCTAGTTCATGAAATCGACATTAGTGAGTCTTTAGAAGAGCATATCCGATTTTGTGAGAAAGAAATATTGTCTCAAGTCCTCTAAATTGTTGGTGGTGATTTGTGGTTCCATTTGATGCATTTACATTATTAGTGATAGGCTCTTAAAGCTTCAAGGTTTGCAACTACACTAAAAGGTATGTCATCTAACTAGAATTTTGTAGTATAGATACTCCATTGTATGCCAGTTAGGATGATGCTTTGGAAATTTGAAAGTTTGCATGTATATTAGAGAAAACATAGATCCAAATCATCTAGGGTTGCATGTACACCATAGGAGTGTTAGAATGCTCAAAACCCTTCACAAACAAGTTTACTGGTCAAATTTGTACGAAAAAAACATGGTTACCTAAATATGGACAAAAACAAAAGTTCCTTACCCATTTTGGTAATATTGGGTTCTTTATGTTAAGTGCAACTAATTGGGTTGTCCGGTCTTTATGTATGAGGAGATGGTCAAGTCTTGGGCCAACCCAATTTAGACCCAGCTAGTTAGGGGTTAGGTTGTATACGTTTAAGGGGTTAGACTTATGTGCTTTAAAGACCTAGCAACACAGCCTAACCTATGAATAGCTGGGACTGAACTGGGTTAGACCAAGCCTACCCTAATTGTTCATTGACTGGCAGAGCCTAATCCCAGGGCACAATCCCTAAGACGATTCTTGTCCAATATTACCAAAACGAGTAAGAAACTTTGGTTTTTGTCTATATTTAGGTGACCATGTTTTTTTTCGTACACATTTGACCAATAAACTTGTATGATATGTTCATAATATGATAGTAGGGTCTTTTTACCATAATTACCAGTCATATTACCTTATTTTGAACAGGTCAAACAAGTTCAATGGTCAAATGTGAACGGAAAAAACATGATTACCTAAATGTGGACAAAGAACAAAGTTCGTTACCTTTCTATGTCATTAACCCATATAGATATTTTAGTTATGAAAAAATCAGTTAATAACTAATTAGCCACCTTGGTTTTATGCTTCCTATGTCATGTAATATAACTTATGAAATTTAGTTATTAACCAAATTAAAAGAGTTGATAAATAATCAGCTAAACTTTCGAAAATCATTGAAAAAATCAAAAATCAAACTAATCTTATTTTACTATAAACATACGTAAACAAGGAAACTCATCTATAAAAGAAAAAACTAAAAATTTAATACAATTTACAACTTAGCTTTGAGTTGATAAAACGTTAAACCTCAAAAACTTATTTCGCTAAATCTCAAAACTCGATTGAATAACGTGGTCACCGAAAAAAAAAAGTTTCAAAACTGACCAGAAGAATATCTAACATTAAAAAACAATCCAATTTAGGTGGGTTTGTCACTAGAAAACATAAAAGTTTTTAATATAAAAAAACAATTTGGGATTGTTTGTGATGAAAATACCTTCCAAAACCACTTGAGAAATTGTTTTCAATGAAAATACCAAAAAAAACAACTAGGAGATTGTTTTGATCAAAATATCCCATGTGGGCAAGCTAAATGACAAGAAAAAAAATTGCAGTCAACTACAAAGATTTATAGTACAACATTTTCAAACAATAAGACTTATGTGAAAACAGTTCACATAAGAACTACATTTGATCTAGTTTGTAAACAGTATGGATCATTTGTGTGCTTTTGTCGACAGTCGACACCCACAAGGCCACAACTTATATAAGTAAGGGATCGGTGGAAGTTCAACTTAGTACTTTTGCCTTACTAAATAGTAGATAGAAGTTTTTCAAATAAAATCTTATGAACAACTAAAATAAACATTTTGATTAATTAGTTAATAGGTTTAAAATAAAACTAATACTTTTAAGATGCCAAAATAAAATTAGTTTTTGGGACAATGGTATCATACTTTAACTAGGTAACATGTACATTTTAATCAATTAATTAACATATTATAATTAACAAATCGATATGATTCTTATGAAAATTAATAATGCTATAAAATACAAAATCAAACAATTTCTTTATTCATATAATACAAAATACATGAAAACCGGCACCGGCCGAGAGTGGCATGACACAGTCAATTGTCGGTTGGCCCATTTCGCGCCGATCTTGCATTCCCTCCGACTGTAACTGTTTTAATTGACTTCCACGTGCATTCTGTGGGTTCCTTCGTTTTTATGTTCATTTTATACAGAATGTTACAGTTAGTGTCCTTCAGTTATACGTAATGTTCAGATCTAGTCCCCTTGTTCACCAACATAATGTTTTTAGTCTCCAAACTAGTTATTTGTCTAATTATAACAAAAAGTTCGTATCTTATTTTGAGTTATTGAGTATTGAAATTTCTAAATCATATTAGAAGGCATTTATGCATTTTTGGTTTTACAAAATATACTTTATTGTTGCGATAATCACTATTAATTTTATCACATTCAAACTCTTATTTAAAAAAAAGATAAAAGATCCAAAAAATAAAGGTGGGGTAGATATGATGATCTTTAGATCATATTAAAATTAAGAGTAGATAAAAAAAAAAATATTTGGCAAAACTAACTCATAGCTTGTAGTTAAAAGTTGTGGTTTCTATTTGTTATATGAATGTTTCGTCAAAATAAATAGAATCCTTTGAATCTTGTAAAATTATATAAAAATACAATTAAAAGATATTATTTTAATCATATTAAAAGCAATTCTAAAAATTGATTAAAAGCGTTCAATATCTTTGTTTTAACATCACATAAACAAAGTTTCAGATTTAGAGTTTTTTGTTTGAATTAAAAGTTGATATTTTGCATTTTCAAACAAATTTTTTTATTTAAATCAACGTTTTCTGTTAAAAACTATAAGCTAAAATCTTCCAAAAATTCATTGAGAGACATGTCAAAAAATTATTATTGTATAAATACTAAATTATATTAAAGATTATATAAACCATAAACCATTGACGTGTTTTATTTGATACGTAACTTTGTTGACATTTTATATGTTTTTCTTAGCAAGCTAAAAATTCAATACATTATTCTATAAAGATTTTCTTACATTATTTAACAATAAAGATACTAGCTAATATATAATATCCTCAACTTGCAATTCTAATGATTTTAGAAGCACCAAGTTTTGGATTAAAAGTAACTAAAGTAACTAATAACCAATTAAACCGACAGTAACACAAGAATAATCTATGTACTTCAGTCGATGGTTTGAAATCCTTCCAAAGTTGTCTTTTACTTTGTGTTTTGTTTCAATTGTAGTTATTGACCAACACAAAATTACTTTATCAGCTTTATATGATTTATTTAAACGTTTTTCATATTTATTTATTTTATTTTTATTATCCTTCAATATTTATTTAATAAATTTAACTCTTCTTAGAAACATTTATTAAAAAAAAAAAGCCCTTAGCGTAAGTGGGCACCATGTTCAATTAGTTAATTATTAGCTGTCTCTTTCTATTTACAATTATATATTCGTATACTTTCTTTATATTACAATTTCCACCCCTGTAAATTTTTCTTCAAGTCTATCTGTCTTCGAGCTGGCCCCCTCCATTGACGTCTTCACGCGTATACGATGCACCTCGCCGCACTATATAACCCTCTTCGTCTCCTTCCTCCCTTTCAGCAGGTACAGACGAAAAACCCTCGCTCTTACCTGCATACAAATCTGAAAACAAAATCCAATCAAAACCCACATCAATTTCACCCTTTTTATCTATTAATTTCGTTTTAAGTTTCAAATTCAGTTGAAGAATGCCGCAATTGGAGGAAGAATTGTTTCCTTCAACGCCCGGGAGGATCAAGAGCGATCGTATGCATTACAACACCATGAACCGGACGTTTCACCGGTGTTTCGCCTCCACCAGCACCATGTTCCTTTGGGCTTTGTTTTTAATTGCTTTAACGGCGTCGTATATAAGCTTCCAAAGCTTCATCACTTCCGGCAGCCGATACCTCCACCACACAAGTCACACCAGCATCGGTGATCTCCACTGGGAGAAGCAAATCCGTTCCTCCGCCCAGATCCGTCGTCAAAACGGTCTCACCGTACTCGTCACCGGCGCAGCCGGCTTCGTCGGCACACACGTCTCACTAGCTTTAAAGAAACGCGGCGATGGCGTCGTCGGAATTGATAACTTCAACGACTACTACGACCCGTCGTTGAAAAAATCCCGCCGGTCGATGCTCGAATCCTACCATATCTTCATCGTTAAAGGAGATATCAACGACCAGAAGCTCTTAGCAAAGCTCTTTGAAATCGTCCCGTTCACACACGTCATGCACTTGGCGGCGCAGGCCGGCGTAAGGTACGCCATGGAAAACCCGAATTCGTATGTCCATAGTAACATAGCAGGTCTGGTAACACTTCTTGAACAATGCAAATCGGCCGATCGGCAACCGGCAATCGTATGGGCAAGCTCCAGCTCCGTTTACGGGTTAAACGAGAAGGTACCATTTTCAGAATCCGATCAAACCGATCAACCGGCGTCGCTTTACGCCGCCACCAAGAAAGCCGGAGAAGAAATCACACACACTTACAATCATATCTACGGATTATCCATAACCGGGTTGAGATTCTTCACAGTTTATGGGCCATGGGGGAGACCCGACATGGCTTATTTCTCTTTCACGAAGAACATCTTACAGGGGAAACCGATAACTGTGTATCGGGGAAAAGATCGGGTCGATTTGGCCCGGGATTTTACTTATATTGATGATATCGTGAAAGGGTGTGTGGCGTCGTTGGATACGGCGGGGAAGAGTACAGGTTCCGGTGGGAAGAAACGGGGACCGGCGCCGTACCGGATTTATAATCTGGGGAATACTTCGCCGGTGACGGTGCCGACGTTGGTGAGTATACTGGAGAAGAATTTGAAGAAGAAGGCGAAGAAGAATATGGTGGAGATGCCTGGAAACGGCGACGTTCCGTTTACACATGCGAATATTAGTTTGGCCCAACGGGAACTCGGGTATAAACCGTCTACTGATTTGTCAACCGGGTTGAGGAAGTTTGTTAAATGGTATCTCACATATTACGGCTATAATCAAGGCAAGGGTAATTCTGTAAATTTGTAGAGTTTTTAATTAGGATTATTTTTTGTTTTTGGAAAAAGATAGGGAGAGCAAGATTCTTTGCTTGGAATGGGGATGAGTTAAGGAAACTTTGTTCTCATTTTGTTTTTTAAGTTATCAATTTTTAACACTTGTAAGTTGTGAAGAAAGAAATTTCATTTTGATTAATATTAATGATTTAACTTAATGGTATTTAATTTATTATTCAATGACTCATGGCTTGAGGTAACGAATCCAGTGGGTTGGATATATACTGTGAGAAGATAATATTGATAAGTCCAAAACCATGTTAGTTATATTTGATAAAGTTGTAATTTTTGTTGGGGCAAAAAAATCAATATATTATCATAATATTTCGAATTTAATATCAAGTTTTTTCCTGCGATTATGTAATTATATTTATTATTTTGTTGCAATATCGAAATAAATGACTCGTTTTATTTGTTCTCTGTTAACCATTTTTTTCAAAATTGAAATAAAGTCATTGTGCTAATCAAAATTACAATTTTTATATTTTGTTTTCTAGTTATGCCATTATATTTATAATTTTATTGCAATATCAGTTAAATGATAGGTATTGCAACAAAATTGTAAATATAACTTCCAAATATATTTGTCTAATATAAAATATAATTCCACACCGATCATCACCTCTAAACGAAGTAATTTCTTTTTTAAAGCTCGTTTACAAATAGATAAATTAGTATGATTGTAACATAAAATAGATTGTGTGCATGAATGAGATACAGAAAGACATACTTGTTTTAGGGATGATTCTTTTGGGGTTTTTTTTAAGCAACAACCATATACATAGAATCGTTATAACAAACAACAAAACGAGGATAAGACTCTTCACAGTGACTATTAGTAATATGTGTTTTTTTATATAAGAAAAATGTTATTGTATTACATTAAACTTTTGTTATATTCGAGATTTGGTCACTTATGTTTTTTACACAATAGATCCTTAAAGAATAATTTTACCTGCTAAATAGAGGAATTATCTAATTTGATTATGTAATTTCTATTTTTTAAATAAAAAATTAAAATGTAGCTTTTATTTATTTATTTTCTTGTAAATATTGAACCCTAATTAAAACCAGTCAATCCACCGTGTCCACCATCCTTCGTCTCCAATTTCACTTGTTGTGTCCATCTCCTCGGCATCGTTCACATCTCCATCTTCAATCACCGGTCATTCTTTACCAACCATCACCATTGTCAGTACTACTGTTAGTGGAATACTTATTTCAACATCTTCGGCGATGACTTTGTGCAACTCTAACCTTTTTCTTCTCCGGCTACATGGTTCCGATTTGCATAAATTGATTTTGAATGTTTACTTGAGGTTTGTATTCAGTTTTCTTATCATGTTTAATTCCTTGTAGAGCTTTAGATAAATCGATTACCAAGTTAACAAAAAAGATGATGAACATGGGTTTTCCCATTCTAGAATACTGATGAAACAATCGAACAAACTACAAAGTGAGTTCATTTAAGCTTTTGCAACCTTCTCCTCCTTGGAACAAATGTCATTGATGAACAGTGGCGAGTCTAGAATAGAAAACCACGTGATTCCCTAACCGAGTTCAATCATGTTGATTCAAAAAGAAAATTAGGTTTAATCGGGTCGGTTCAACCATAAAATAACTATTTTAACATATATAAAAATTGGTGTTGAAAGGATCAAGCCCAAATCGGTATTTCTTTTAAAAAAAATTAACTAAAATAAACTTATACTTTGAGTAAAACAGTCAAAAACATGCCTAAACAAGTTTCTAGTGTGGAGATGTGAAAGAGAAAACATTTATTCATAAAGGAAACATATTCACTACTTTGTTCTTGGAATCTGTGAGACTTTTTTATGCCATTGAATATGATATTTCTTATATCGTGTATAGTTTATATATTTTTTTCTTGCCTTTTACCAAACACATTTAAGTAGGTCATATAAAATATTTAAGGTAAGTCCTAAATATATTTTATATATAACTTATTGTAAAAATATTAAATTTAGGTGGGTTAAGTGACCCACCTTGGCACACTATAGCCTCGTCACTGTTGATGAAGTCATTTGTTTACGAGGATTTGACGATCCAGCCGTTGGTGCAATGCTTATACAGTTGGATAACAATCAATGTTTGGTATGGTAAGGATCTAGTGATGCTTTGCAGCAAAATAATGTTATTGGAGTTTCTTCTCTATTCACCATACTTCCAGCAACAACACCTTCATCTTCATCATTTCCTTTTGTTGCTTTAAAATGAACCGGAGAATAGTTACGACAAAATGTAAGTCGCTATGATTGCTATCATAAAAATCTGATGAATTGAAGCTCTCTTGAGATTGAGAAGTGGGGAAAGTACCAACAACATTCCTCGATGGGTGGAAGAAGGTAATGTAACCCGATTTGGGATTTAGGTTTGGAAGAATGTGCATTTGTTGTAATTTCATGTTATTCTTCATTTTTTTTTGTATTCAAATCATCTGATGTTCGTTAGGGTCTAAGTGGAAATACGCATTCGATGATGGGCTATGGGTGGTTTCGATGATTTGGTTCTTTTAGAACCACTTGAGAATGATTATGAAGTTTTGATTTTACCCCTTTTTTGGTCTCTTTCACTATATTTTTAAACTCTACAAATTTGAAATCCTTATAACACCTAGGATTTCATACCAATTACACCCCAAAATTTTCATTTCTCATTTAAAAAGTTACAATATTTATTTTGGTGTACATTGGCGAACCAACATACAAGAAGTTATCATGGAAATTGTATTTACCACAATTACAAGGATCGAGTCGGGCGTCACAAATAATCTACATGCAAAACAGATTATCACAACAACATAAGTCTCGCGGCTTAGTGAATAACAACTATTAAAACATAACCAATTAAAACATATGATCATGTAATGATCCATTTTCTTAATTATGTAGTAATTGATTAATATCAGTTAATGGTATTCTCATAGTCAGTTTTTCAGTAACAATCTATCACTTAGTCATAATTTATCTCTAAATCAATGATCTATCTCTTAATCAATAATCTGTCTCTCAATCGATAATCTAATTCTCACTAAAGATCTATCTCATTCAATGGGACTCGATCTCTCAATTGTATCTCTCTCTCTCTCTATCTATCTATCTCTTTCTCTCTCATGCACACATATACACACACACACTCTCTCTCTTTCTCTCTCTACCATAATCTATCTTTCTCTATGTTAACGAATCTCTCTATCGTGATCTACCTCTCTATTAAAATTAATCTCTCTATTGTGATCTACCTCTCTATTAAAATTAATCACTCTCTCTACCAATGTCTATCTCTCTCAGTGGGTATTAATCTCTCTCTCTCTCTCTCATAATATGTTATTTCTGCTTGATGTTTTCTTTGCTTGGCTAGTTTCTTGTTAGTCCGTTTTGTTTAATAAAATTCAGACATTCTAAAAAAATCTCTCTCTTATAATTTGTTACTCGATTATGATGAATCCATTATTCATACTCTATCGGTTAATCATAATTAATCTATCAATTATGATGTATTTCTCGATAATGATTTAACTCATAATGGTGAATAAATTCTCAACAATAGTCGGTTATCTAGATCTTTTTATAATTCATATATCACATATCACAGATATCATAAGTATCACATATATCACAAGTATCACATATATCACAAATATAATATAACTACTCAGAATTGATCTATCTTTTAATGTGATGTATCTTTGAGTTGTAATATATTTAATAAATTAAAATCAATCTTTTAGTCAAATGTTAATTTCTTAGAATACTCAATCTCTCCGATATCAATCAATTTATCATTAACAATTAATGATATAATTCATATAATATATATCATAGATAACACATCAATGGATGTTAAAATAGTGTTACTCGCATGGTCAGTCAGCAGACTAATTCTAGTTTTGGTTTCCATCCTTTGTTGCCTATCAGTTTGTCACTTGGTAACACTTATCCATCACATAATAAGTTCCATAGAACATGTCTTAAATCACTATTAGCTATACTCTCTGACCACTCGTCATAGTAATAATCAAATTTCATAATATAACTATAATAGGCATAACCCGTAAGTTGTTAGCTAAATCTCTCATAATAGGTAACTCTTAAATATTTGGGTGTATGACCCCGCCAGTCTCAACTAAATCTAAAATCGCAAGATTGATTCGCTGATCTTACCAACGGGTTCGTAACAACACCACATCACGAAAATCCGTAATGCATTCGGGTCTAACATTTCTCGACAATTATTGTATATAATAATTATACAATAACATTGTAAAAGATAGATCCACGATCTCGTAACTCCGCCCCGTATCTCACGTACATGGGTATAAATCCTCCAATATAATATACCATAAACAAATCCCAAGCAACATCTTCGGTTCCGTGTGTCAAACTCTCTCGAAAAACACGAAAACTCTCGTATTTATAACCAGACGCAACTCACGTCATGACCACTTAGTGTCACATCGTGAGGATCTTATGCACTCTGATCTCGACACATATTGTACTCTTTTGCAACGTATCTCATTGATCAGACTCATCTCATGTCGTGACCATGCATGCCTCACGTCGTGAGGATTAATAGACTCTCGTTTAGATGCGTATGAATCTCGAACGTTCCGATGACTCATTACTCTTTATGTCGTGACAAGCTTAGTGTCACGTCAAGACATACTCAATACCATGTCATGGAGAACATTTATTCATGTTGTAGGAGTCAAAAGTTTGACCTTTTGAATTTGACTTCTGTTGACTTTCTCAAAATAGCAATGTACTTTCATCTAAACTTTAAAACGGTCATAAATTTCTCATACGAACTCTGTTCTCGATGATCTTTATATCCATGGAATCCTCTCAACCAGTTCTACAACATTTTCAAAACTATCTTTTGCCAAATAGAAATTCTCAATTTAAAGTAACTACATGCTCTATTCCTTATACTTTCCTCACATCATTTTATATACTCTATAGGGATGTCTGGTCACGAAGGACAATTATTACAATACCTTATCATGTCGATAAACTTATAGAGCCTTGTTTAATATTGTTGCATATTTTCACCACTTTTCCAATCGCACTTGAAGTTCATAAATAAATCGTTAAACTCCATGATAACTTTATTGGTATTTCTCACTTTCAAATAAAATTGATATTGTTTTTTTGATAGTTTCCAAACTTCATTTTTGTAACGCCTGTGTTTCTGGGCTTGTCATTAATGTTGATATAATAGTCTAGGTTAACCTTTGTAACCCGTTTTGAAATAATAGAAGTGTGTTATTTGTGTATTATGTGTTTTGTGTTTAATTATGTGTCTTAATTTAATTTAGAATAAAAATAAGCGTCAAAAAAGAAATGTTAGATAAAGCCGATATATATGGATAATGTTGTAGTATTTGAAATGAGGTTTCCGAATATATAAAGAATGCCGAAATCCGAGTTATAACGAAGAAGTTATGACCTGTCAAAGTTTTGCGACAGAACCGGCAACGCTGATTGACGTAAAAAGTGAAATTTACGTTAGAACGATATTTAGCCTTAGTGATCTAAACGAATGTCTTAGAGTTTGTTAAACCGAGAGTGTGCATAAAAAGAACGCCCAAATCTGACTTCGTATGAGGAAGTTATGATTTTCTGAAGTTTCAACTTAGCAGTATGCAGCCCGAATACTCGATTCGAGATCGAGTGATTGTTGGTTGACACAATCTAAACAATAATCGAATATGTCGTTGATAGTAGCGCATTGGTGAAAAGACAGACGAAAACGGACGTCGGATGAAGAAGTTATGAATTTATAACGGAGTTTTCTTGTCCCGGCCTACTAAAAATAAATAGTAAAAAATAAATTCAAAATTAGCCGACGAAGTCTAAACGAAAGTTGTAGAGCGTAGTCTCACCTACGCGTGGATATAAAGAACGTCGAAAACGGAGTTCGTATGAAGAATATATGAATTTTCGAATTTTATTAAATAATTAAAATTTAAATTTAATTATTAAATCCGGCATTATCCAAAGGGGAGTCACCGGACTTATCTGGGTTACGCCCAGCGTAGGGCTGTACGCCCAGCGTACAGCGAAGCATGACGCGCCTCGCACTCGAGTTCTTCGGATACGTAAGCAGTGACGATTTCGGAGGCAGTACGCCCAGCGTACTGCAAGGCCTCAGCCTCCTATAAAAGGGTTGCGAGGGCAGCCGACTCCATTTTCCAAATTCTCTTCTCTTTCTCCCGTTTTGCATCGTTTTGCGTGCCATAGGTATCCCGATGCCCTGGTATTAATCCCGAGCCCCGAAACAAGTTCCGGAGCCCCGAAGATCCCGCGAGGAGCCCGGATATTGCGAAGATCTTCCAGATCTACTGAAGAATACTACTTCTGCAAGTCATAGTGCTGTCCGATCATCTTCTGATCAAGTGAGTGTGTAGTTACTTTCTTCTAACACATAATTATGAAGTATTTTATACGAAATACGTGTTACGTGTATAATTTTGTTGTTATGTGTGTGAATGTATATTCACTTTCTTCTATCTCATAGATATGATTTATTCTCTATGAAATACGTGTCATGTGGGTGTGCCTCATCTGTTATATGGAATATGTATTGAATGAGAATGCTATACAGGTTTTAAACTATGTATAAAAATATATATGTTTATCTACTAATATGTTGGGTAGAACATGGGTAGATAGTTGATGTGTGATAAACAGATGAGAGGCCTCGATGCTGTTGTTGTTGTTGACCTAGTCATCTAGCGGAATATGGATGACGACCACAGACTCTTTCTAGACAGTCTTGTGGAACGCTAGCAGGTTCATAACCTGTAGGTGTTGTGAACGATGTGTTCACCGGTGTACTCTATCCCCCTCATGGTTGCCTTTAGGATATCTATTGTTGAGGAAACCCCTTAGCAGTAATGTCCGTCCCGATGAAAATCCTAGATTAGGTCCCTTGAGATAGATGTTGTTTTAGGGACGTAAAGTGAGGATAACGGGAATGGGTAATCGGGTTATTGTTGGTTGGTAAAATTAAATATAATTTATTTATTGCGGGTTGAAAAACCTATATGCTCACCAGGCTCCCAAGCCTGACCCACTCAGTTTATTTGCATTACAGGAAGTGGCGCGAGAGCATAAGATGGATGAATCATCAAGTTGTTTTGTTTACAAGTCTGTATATGTATATATTTGTTAAATGACTTGTAATGTTATCGTTTATGCTTTATGGTCTGTATCAGAACATGACATCCCGAGTTTTGATTATATAATGAAAATGCATCTCTTGATGAAATGCTTTGATAAATATTATTTTATCAGATTTTGTTTTGGGAACAAATTCCGCAACTCTTTTAAATCAAAAGAATTTACTCTGAAATTATTTTAAGAAGCATAAATGAAATCGGTCTTTTATGGCCGAGATTTTAGGGGATGTCACAATTTTAGAGAGAAAAACACATTGTAACTTCTTTATAAAAAATATGCTAATTTTGGTCATTTCCGATCCTTAGGTCTTTCGTAACATCAACCCGTTCACGTGTAAATGATCTTTCTTCCTTTGTGGTCTAAGGCATATTCGATGTCTTTCTATTTTCCTTGGTATCGGAATCGGTTTCAGATAGGATATAGAGTTGGGGTCAGGATAGGGTTTGAGTTTGGTTAGGGATTGGATTTAGGGTTAGAATTGGAAATGGAAATGAGTTTATTGAAGTGTCTCAAACGGGTTACAATCGATTTGGGATTGGAATTGGCTAAGATAATAGAACACATGCGGTGAAAAAAATAGGAAGATCCATTTGAAGTTGGTAAAAGATAGGTGATGAAGGGTTTGAATTGTTTGTGTTTGGACTTTTTGAATTGTGAAGAATTATAGGAACGATATATTCTTAAATGTAAACATCATAAGAAGGATTTGACAGGATGAACACAAAGAGGTAAATAAGATATGTTTGCATTAATGGATAGGAAGAACAATTCGTTACATTATGATTATGAAGAACTATTATGTGTGCCAAAAACTATCTATTCTACTGAATAATGCTCCTATATACAGGCGTCAAAAGAGCACTAGAACGGAATCCTAAGTTGATAATTTAGAACTGCAAACCTAAGATTAAATACATACCAAAATCGGAATTACAACTACATATCTCGAAATTAAGAAAAGAAAATAAACATAACAACCAAGTTGCAAACAACACATACAACTAGACACAATATATTTCCGAAACCTAACAATCTCCCCCTTTGTGTCAAGTTGTTGTTGTGGTCTTTTCTTGCTCTTTCTTTTCAACTTTGAACACCTTTGGAATAGTCTTAAATACAGTCATCTGAATGACAATCCACCATTTAATCATATTAGAAACACACTTTACATCTCCTTCATTATTTGACTTTTTCACTTCGTCTTTTGCAAGGATTTGATTCAAAGTTGATGTAGAGAACAAATGCTTATCTATTAAGAACATCATACAATGCAACACAATTTCATTTTCTTTCATCTTGTAAGTCACTCCCCAATGATCTTTTTCAATAAAACTAGACTTGAATTTTTCCAAATTCGCTTGAGGAGGAAGTGGCTTCAAAATAGGCTTTCTTCTAAGAACAGATGCAATTTCAATATCCATCTTCGCAACTTCAAGAATATATGCACGTATCATACTTCTGAAAAATTGATGGATAGGCTCATACTTCACAACATCCTTTGCAACAATATTGAACAAGGAAATCCAATCATAAGGATTCATAAATGGAATATCAGCCAAAGAGAATTCATGCACCTCATGATTATGACTTCTGAAAGCGTTAAAAGTGATATTTGTGAAACCATCAACAACTATAGGTTTTCCAACTTTCAATACAACGATCCTTTTCAAGCTCTAAGATTCGTATTAAGGCTTGGAGTTATTCACATAAAAATTGAATAACTTCTTGTTTATTGATTTGTTTTCCAAAGGAACTTTCACAATCATATCAAAACATTAGAATAAAAGTGATTTAGTAGTAATTGTTGGCAAATTTATGAGATAGATGTGGCATGTATGCGTGTTCGGTCCGTATCATCCATGCATTGGTGTATTGCCCAAGTTATTCTAGAACTCCTTGAGTTATAAGGAAATACTAGTTTGTTTAGGAATCCTAATTATATATTAATTAGTTTTGTTTAGTATATATATACTTAATAGGTTCATGTAATCAGTGATGATCGATTGAAGTTTTTGAGTGATTTTTCTTCAATAAAACAAACCTATGAGTTTATGCAGTAATAGGTTTATGTTTCCCTTTAATTGGTATCAGAGTGATCATACCTTTCTTAGACATCTAGTGTGGAGAAGATCAACCTGAAAAACTACTCGGTGTTCTCATGATGAGAAGTTGTGTAGGAAGACGACCCGACGACTGTAAGTAATTCCTCCTGTGCGATCTAAGAATCAATCTTGCTACCTATTCAAATTCTCGTGTGGAGAACCTGTGCAACAAGCTAAATTACGACAGCAAGTGACGAAATCGTGCAAAGTTTTTTTTCTATTTTTTAGATTACAATAGATTGCATTGAAATAGCAATCCACAAACAAAGGATTAGAAATCTTTTTTTCAAAGCTAAGAAGAAAAGCTTTGAATTGCGTAGACGTGCGCTAAATCGTCGATCGTGTTTTGCAATTTTCCCTAAAGAAACGTGTTTTGTTTGACTTTGGGCCCTCATCAGAAGGCGTGTTTGGGTTTTCTGATTAGCCGCCAATAATAGTATAATACACAAATCGTGAAATTTGATCAAATTAGCCCAATATTGTTTATTTATTTATTTTGGGAGAATTTGTTCTTTTACTTTGGGTTTTTTTTGTATAGGCCCAAATCAACTCTTGAAATTTGATCAAAAATTTAAACATTGAACCGCGATGTCGGGAGGAGAAACGTCGCAACCATCGGCTAAGGAGCACACGTCGTTCACGTTCCAATGTCCAACTTTGACATCGATGAACTACACAATTTGGAGGATGCACATGGAGGTGATACTCGGGATTCATGGCATTTGGGATGTGATTGATCCCGGACTAGATGACGTGAAGAAAAACAACATCGTGAAAGGATTGTTGTTTCAATCGATTCCGGAGAATTAAATCCTTCAAATCGGTAATTTGAAAACCGAAAGAGAGATGTGGGAGGCGATTAAAACTTGAAACCTAGGAGCTAAGCGTGTGAAAGAAGCCCGACTCCAAACTTTAATCATGGAATTTGAAAATCTAAAGATGAGTGATACTAGTACAATAGACGAGTTCGCTGCAAAATTATTTGGAATTGCGTCGAAATCCGCTTCACAAGGAGAGGTCATGACCGAACAGAAACTTGCGAAGAAGTTTCTTACGTGCCTACCTAGGCGATTTCTCCACATAGTTGCAGCCCTTGAACAAGTTTTAGACCTTAAAACGATAGGCTTTGAAGACGTGATTGGTCGCTTAAAAGCTTATGAAGAAAGAATCAAGGGTGAAGACAAAGTAATTGAGACTCAAAATAAATTACTTTATTCCAAAACTGAATCGTCCAACAGATACACTTATTCATCAAGAGGTAGAGGTCGGGGTTCAAATATTTGTGGAAGAGGACGTGGTGGTGGACGTGGTCGGGGTAACACCCAAAATCATGGTCACTCGGAATCCTCTAAAAATCGTGACGATCAAAAGAAAGAAGGAAAACAATACGAGCAAAGAGATCTCTCAAACATCCAATGTTACCGGTGTGATAAATATGGACACTTTGCTTCAAGATGCCCGGACCAAATAAAAAATCATGAGGCTAACCTTAATCAGACACACGAAAGAGATACAAATCATGAAGAAGGGACCTTCTTTATGATGAATACAATTCAGGAAACGGTGTTCTTGAATGAAGACAAATATATCCTTCCAAAAGTTGAAGCAAATGCCGATGAAGACAGACTTTGGTACTTAGATAATGGTGCGAGCAACCACATGATCGACAACTATTCTTATTTTTTCTTAATTAAATAAGAATATAACAGGTAGATTGAGATTAGGAGATGGATCGTGTGTTAGCATTAAAGGAAAATGGTCAATTTTGTTCGGAGGGAAAAGCGGTGAGCAAAAATTAATGAAGGATATATATTATATTTCATCACTTCGTAGCAATGTTATTAGCCTCACGCAATCTACAATAGTTGGTTGTGATATTCAAATGCGAGGTGATTTCCTAACCATGCGAGATGGAGATGGAAGATTACTAATGAAAGTCCCGAGAAGTGCAAACCGACTCTACAAAATAAAGTTAAAAGTTGGAAAACCACATTGCTTACAAGCCAAGTTTAATGATGAAGCTTGGTTATGGCACGCGTGAGTTGGCCACATTAATTTTGGCGCGATAAACTTGATGCACAAGCTAGCTAAAGGGGTACCGACAATCCAACATCAAGACCAACTTTGTGTATCTTGCATGGTTGGAAAACAAACAAAGCATTCGTTTGCAAAGAAAGCTAATTATAGAGCTACAAATATTCTCGAGATGGTGCATGGAGATATTTGTGGACCGTTGATCCCCCCACCCAAGCGGGTAATATTTATATTTTAGTTCTTATTGATGATTATTCTAGATATATGTGGTCTTTTCTTTTGAAGCACAAAAGCAATGCATCTGAAATTATTAAACGATTCAAGATATCAATTGAAAAATGAACCGGTAAAGAGATCAAGACTTTCCCTACGGATAGAGGTGGAGAATTCACATCAACTGAGTTGAACCGTTTTTGTGATGAAGAAGGTATTTCACGTATGTTGACGGATCCTTATGCACCTCAAAAAAACAGTATAGTCGAACAAAGAAATCGGACTCTACTCGAGATGACATAGTGCCTAATGAAAGCAAAAGATATTACAAACCACTTTTGGGGCGAAGCGGTACGACATACAACGTTCATCATAAAGCGTACACCTACTCAAGCATTGATAGGTGCTACACCTTTCGAGAAATTTTATGGTGAAAAACCAAATCTTGAAGACTTGAAAGTATTTGGTTGTGTTGCATATGAAAGAGTAGTCTCAAAACATTTGAAGAAGCTTGATGATAGGTCATGACCGTTAGTATATTTTTGAAAGGAACCCAATTCGGGAGGATTTCGATTATATAATCAGCGGGAAAATAAAATTATTATTAGTGCCCATGCTATTTGTGATGAAAATAAGACATGGAAATGGAATAACGAACACAAAAATAAGATGAAAATGGACCAGGTACATTTACGGTCTTGTGGAGTAGTGGTCAAGCAACCCAAGATAATGGTGGTTCGATCCCAACTTCAACAGAAACCGAATAATTCACCGATCTGGCCCAAATCGACCAAACCTATGACACTTATAATGATGATAGTAGCCCATCGCAACCTGTTGATGATCAAAATAACAATGCAAGTTTTGTCCCATTTCGGTGGTCCACTTGAACTTGAGTGTTGCCAAAAAGATTAAATGACTACGAGCTAGATGTGTATCATTTAATGTTGTCATTTGATGAAGAACCAAAAAATTTTAAAGAAGCCAAAGTGAACAAAAATTGGCTCGATGCAATGAAGGCCGAAATTGACTCCATCGAGAAGAATAATACTTGGAAATTAGTTCATCCTCCTAAAGATGTTAAACCTATTGGGTTAAGATGATTGTATAAAATTAAAAGAAATACGAACGGATCAATTACAAGGTACAAAGCGCGTCTAGTAGCAAAAGGCTATGTACAAGAGCAATGCATTGATTTTGATGAAGTATTTGCGCCAGTAGCTCGACTCGAGACAATAAGACTATTGATTGCTCTCGCTAGACCTGTCAATTTCATACACGACACTATTTACACGACACGAACATGATACGAGTTTTCCGTTTATGTGTTTTAGAAATTCTTGTTTCGTGTCTATTCGTGTCTGACACATATTTTAAATTCGTGTTCGTGTCTTACACGTGTCAAACACGAATTTACCTGTTTAGACACGTATAAGACACGATAAAATTCGTGTTGACACGTGACACGTACACACACACACACACACACACACATATATATATATATATATATATATATATATATATATATATATATATATATTAGGGTTAAATTTTATATGTATAAAATACTAGGGACCGATTACGTAAAACATAAAATCGTGTTTATTTGCATGTTATTGTCATCCTAGCTAAAAAGACTTTAAAATTGTGTTTATTCATGTTTATTCGTGTTTATTCGTGTATTCGTGTAACACGGTTAAAAAACGTGTCTATTCGTGTCGTGTCACATGTCACACGAATTTTTTACGTGTCGTGTTCGTGTTTGACACCCCAAACACGTTTTATAATTCGTGTCGTGTTCGTGTTTACCAAATCCGTGTCGTGTAAACTCGTGTCTGACACGAATACACGACACGCAGACACGGATTGCCAGGTCTAGCTCTCGCGGATGGTAACAGATGGAAGATTCATTACCTAGATGTAAAAACTACATTTTTATATGGAGATTTAAAAGAAGAAGTGTATGTGTGCCGACCGAAAGGTTTCGTGAAGCAAGGTGAAGAAACAAAAGTCTACAAATTGGCAAAAGCTTTATATGTTCTCTGAAAATCTCCAAGAGCATGGAATTTGAAGATTAATAACGCGTTGAAAAATATGGGTTTTAAACGGTCCATACAAGAAAATGTGGTTTATAGAAAGGTTGCAAATGGAGAATGCACAATAGTTGCAGTTTATGTAGATCATTTGTTCGTAACGGGAACAAGCTTAGAGTTTATAAACAAATTCAAGAGACTAATGACGTTACAGTTTGAAATGTCGGGCCTTGGTGAACTAACTTGCTACTTGGGTATTGAAGTATTGCAAGAAAATGGTTGTGTAAAGGTGAAGCAAGAGAGTTATGCAATGAAGAGTCTAAAAGAGGCAGGAATGCAAGAGTGTAATGCAACTTAATGTTCGATGGAACCAAGACTAAAGTTGTCAAAAGATGAAGATGAACCAGAAGTTGAAGCTACCTATTATTGAAAAATGGTAGGTTGCTTACGATATCTCTTACACACTCGTCCAGATTTAGCATATTTGGTCGGAGTAGTTAGCCGTTATATGCAAAGTCCAAGAGAATCTCATGCACGCGCTATTAAGCAAATTCTTCATTACTTGCGTGGCACTCCATCTTTTGGGATAATATATAAACGAAGTAAAAATATAAACTTGATAGGTTACAATGATAGCAGTCACAATGTGGATATTGATAATGGCAGAAGTACAACAGGGCATATCTTCTACCTTGGTGAATCACCTATCACTTGGTGCTCCTAGAAGCAAGATACAATAGCTTTGTCCTCGTGTGAAGCGGAGTTCATGGTAGCTACTATAGCTGCGTGTCAAGAAGTTTGGTTAAGGGAGTTGTAAGTTGAGCTGACAGGAATGAAGAAACAGAAGGTGCTGATTCGCATAGACAACAAATCAGCAATTACATTATCAAAGAATCTTGTCTTTCATGGAAGAAGCAAACACATTCACACACGATTCCACTTCATTCGAGAGCGTGTAGAAAATGAGCAAGTGATTGTTGAGCATGTTTCGGAGATAAGTAACGAGCAGATCCTCTTACGAAGGCCTTAAATCGAATAAGGTTCGCAGAGATGAGAGCGTTGCTTGGCGTGCAAGAATTACCCGCTAATCAGAAATTTAGGGGGTGATTATTGGCGAATTTATGATACAAATGTGGCATGTATGCGTGTTCTATCTATATCATCCAAGCCTTAGTGTGTTGTCTAATTTATTCTAGAACTCCTTGAGTTATAAGTCAATACTAGTTTGTTTAGGAATCCTAATTATATACTATTTGTTTTGTTTAGTATACATATAGTTAATAGGTTCCTGTAATCAGTGATGATCGATTGAAGTTTTTGAGTGATTTTTCTTCAATAAATCAAACCTGTGAGTTTATGTAGTAATAACTTTCTGTTTCCCTTTAGTAATTGGAAAATCCACCTGACAATCCATTTCATTCTTAATTGAAAAGAAGTATGAGGCTCTAACCAAAACATATTGGGATTATCAATTGCTTTTTTCTGAATCCAGTCAACAGTCCACTCCGAAAACATAGCTTTCTTTAAAGAAAGAATTTCCTCAAAATTCTTCTCTTTAACTTCTTCTACTTCAATTTTTTCTTTTAATGCATTCAAATCATCAAGCTCTTTGTCACGTTTTTCTCTTTATTTCATTTTTTCAGATACGTTAGGATTCATATCATCATCTAGTTCTGAAACAATATTCACCTTTCCTTTCCTTGATCCAGAAGATACATTACCCTTCTGATTAATTTTCACTTCTCTAAGATTGTTCATCTTTTCTAGAATAGCTTTTCACTACTAGAAAAAAGGCCTTTTACGACGCTCATTGCGCGTCGTAAAACGCTCAGACGACGCGCAAATGCGCGTCAAGGAAGGCCCTGTCATAATGAGAGACGATGCGCTTTTGCGCGTCGTCTATAGACGACGCACATTTATGACATGCAATGCGTATCTTTAGAGCCACTGTCAAGAAAGGCCATGTCATAAATGAAGATGACACAGATTTTTGCGTATCATAATTTTTATTTAAAAAAAGTTATTTATAGATTTACTAGTTTTCAAATTAAATTTGCATTTCATGTATCATAATAGAAAATAAAATACCATATACAAAAAATACAATCATATACAAATAATAAGAAAACAATTCATTTCATACGATAAATGTATTAACATTTAAACTGAATCACATTCAATAATCTCTTTATACAAAAAATAGTGTATACAAATAATTTCTCTAACTAATGGAACATTTAAAGGGATTAAGATACATGAATCAACTTTCACCAAATCAGGAACCACCATCACATCATCATCAAACATGATCTGTGTGAAAACATAACCATAATTGTCAACCATCATAAAAAAACACAAATTATGAGAAACAATGACAAAAAAACTTGTACTTTCCAAGTGTTGTCTTGTGTATTGATGTTAAACTGCTTGATCATACCAAGTGATATAAAAAAACACAAAAATCTTTTAAAAAAACACATTTTACATACAATGAGGGTATACCCCTCTATTGATTGGATTTATATATATCATATGACCAATTGAAAAGGAAAATTATAGAATGGAATGCTCTATTCCATTCCTTTGTGGCAAACAAAAAGGATTTTTTTTTCACTCCACCATAATACTACATACCACTACCTCTTTGTTTACTTAGTTTGTTAAATAAGTTGATTCCATCACTAAGCACCAACAATGTTTTATTTGTTGAATATCTTGAGAAAATTTTTATTATTGATAAATTTTGATTTACTCTAGAGACAAAGGTAAAACAGCCATTTTACTTTCATTAAGACCCTTTATAGCACCCAATTCATACCATCTTTAAACAAATAAAAAACTATTTACATACTTTATAAAGGAAAACTAACTTTCATGCATTCCTCTCCCCACATAGATTCTTGATTGCATATAATTAGACACAAGACAGATGAAATAGATGATGTTGTGGGTAAAAGGGTAAAAATGGAATTTCAATAATAAAGATTATATCTATAATATACCTGTGACCGCCAAAGGAAGAATCTTACAATAATCCAATTAGAGTTCTCGATTCACTGCTGCTAGTAAAGTTGACAACAAGTATAAAGCCACTGCCATAATGTTTGTAAGGAATTACAAATTTACATACAACAATTAAAAGAGCTGCTTATTTATGAAATGTACTGCAGTCAATTTTCCAAACTCAATTTAGGAATTTGTCTTAAGTATTATTATTCACATAAAGAATAGAACGTAAATAAATTTACCTGAAAGAAACTTGTCCACCAACTTGTCCAGACCTTAGTAGAACTTTTGAATACAAATCCATTTAACTTGAAGAGCATAAATTCTATTAAATGATAACAAATAATAAACAAAAAATGATTCGAATAACATAAATGCTAGAGTTTTAACAAAGTTGTTCAAACATTTCACCTTATAAATTTAGTACTATCAGTTGGTTAGAGAATTATACATGAGGATCATTAGAAAGCACAAACCCAATAATTATAACCTTATCAATTATGATGGCTGAAATTGTTGCCCCCTGTACCAAAAATAAATATTAGAAGCTAAAAACTCTCAACATATAATGAAATTTTCTTAGAAACAAGTAACAATTCCAAGAAAATATATAAGAATGACAAAAATACCCCTAAAACACAACTATGACTCTAAAACTAGTAGGCTAAACATGATGAAGCTAGAGAACTAGTTAGTTCATATTAAATAATAAAACTTACTAATGGAAGCAAAAAAAATAGTGACGACAGAAATATTCAACCATATACAGTAAACAGAGAAGATTGTTTTGAGTAAAAGCAAATTTGATCAATTAGGAGCACTCCACTTCTATCGCTCTAATCTACGATTAGGCTGGTTAAATTTTCAATTTAACTGACTTCAATTGAAATTTGGATTAACAAAATTAAAAGGAAAATAGATGCTAACCTTTAAAGTTTATTTCCTAGTGCTGACCTTTGAATGAGCCTTCGTATTTAATCACAAAATTCTTACCCCTGAAATATAATTAGATTATGTATCAGTAACAAAAATAGAGAAGATTGTTTTGAGTAATATTTATAAAACATCCTTACCGGAATCTCTCCAACATTTTTAATTCATTATAAACATGGTTTTTGTTAGCATTTTCATGAGGATCTGCAAAAATGTTATGCAACAATTCCAGGTCAACATTACTTCAAGAAAATATTAAATTAACAGATTAAGCAGATAAATAACATCCAGCTCCTTACTTTTAACAGCAAATGTTGTTCCATCTTTTTTGCTTCTTGCCTTATAGACTGTGCCATAACCACCTGTTTATTTCATAAGGAAACAAAAAAACAAAAAATATGTAAATTCTCACATGAAATTAAGTTTTTTAAGCTTGTAATTTTAAACTAAGTGTTCATATTTGCTTTCATTACCTGAACCTTCTTCTTACTCTACAATATATTTTTTAGGAAGTTAGCATTTAGAATACCAAGATTTTTGCAAACTCTATCCCTATTCCCTAGTTCCTCTGATTAGAAAAATTAGAGATGCCCTTTTGATTATTACAGACACTCAAAATTAGAATGGACTGTTCTTGGAGTTCAATTTAGAGATTGAAACAGTGAAATGAATTTTTTTTTTAGGAAGTTAGCATTTAGAGATTGAAACAATTGACTGAAATTGCAAACAGTCAAATCAAAAGAGCTAAGCAAAAGGAAGGTATCTTCAAACAAAGAACAATCACAGATTCTGAAGAAGGAATAAACATATTGAAATGAAATGAAAGATAGTCTCATAAACGTAATGGAATGAAAAAAAATCAGAGAAGTGAAGTTGGATTTGTACCAGTTTTAGGGTTTCCTTCGGTTACTCCCTTCACATATCCGACAAACTTCATCTATAGAGGAGAGAGATGAGAGAAAACCTGGTGGAGGGGGCGAGATGAGAAGGTGGATGCATCAATTAGGGAGAAAACAAACTCATAGAATGAAGAGTGAACTCGGATTTAGGAGAAGTACCATTTTTAGGGATAAATCGAACCAGCTAGTCTTCATTGTCGATCTTCTTTGCCGCCATTACTGGCTCCTGAATAGAGAGAAAGGGTAGGGGTTAGGGTGATTTGAAGAGTCATAGTCGCATATGTGTAGAGGTGAGCCTCAGGTCGTTGACGAGGTGAGGTGAGATAGAGGTTGCTGATGAGGCTGATCAGGTCGTTGACTGGAAAGCACTTGTGTGGAATGGAAAATCGTTTTGAATTATAGGGTTTGTAAACATGGGGAGTCATTGTAGATGGAGTAGGGTAGAGGTGAAGAGGAATGAGCGGGGTACTTCAAAATTTTGGGGGATTTCCCCCCTTTAGCTATTAATGAAGGATTAGACTCGCATTCTTACAAAACATAACGAAGCCAACATAAAACCATGTTTCTGGTGGTGGCGGCTGCTAGGTTTTACAGAGAGAAGGAGGGGAGAAAATGAAGGTCATCGGCCGGTGGAGAGGATAGAATGAGCGGGTCTTCCAAAATTTTGGGGATTTTTGTCGATCGATCATTTCCCGCCTAAAAGGCGTGTTTCATTAAAAAATTATAAAGCGACATACTTACATGACGCACATTTTATAAAAGGTGCCCTCCGCATTTCCTTTTTTTTTTTTTTTTTTTTTTTCTTTTCTAACACTAATTTTAGGGCATGCACAAATACGTGTCTACTATCCTTCAAATTTTGCGAAACTGACATTATTTTTTAGTGCACCCACAAATGCGCGTCATCTATCGGCGAGTGTCATTGTTTGCGCGTCATTAAAGGGTTGTTTTCTAGTAGTGTTTGCAGCATCTAACTTAGCCATTTTCCAAGTTTCGTAAGGATTTCTCAAATTAACTTTTGGAATCTCATCCTTATTAACAGAAATATCATCTTCATCACCTTCATCTCCCCCTTGTAACCCGGGAGCCAAGCTACGTTTAACATTTAAAACTTCATTTAACTTCACAAGAATAGGCTTCATCTTTCCATCAACAAGTTACAAAGTCGAATTAGCATATGGAGCATCAACAATTCGTATAGGACACTTATTAATCTCAAAATTTTGACCTTTCACCAAAAGTAAATCTTTACTCATATGGGAAAGTTGAATTGAAGCATTCTTCAATTGTTCCTTGAGAACATTCACCTTATAAGTGGATTCAGCAAGAGTCATGATTCTATTTGCATGATCAAGATCATTATGCATTTTCAAGATAGAGTTTGCAATAAACGTATGATGATCTGTATTATCACGTTGAAGACCAAAGCGAAGACCGGATAGAGCTTCCTTCTCAGTTTAAAGAGATAAACGAAATCCTCCAATCACTTTATTAACTTCAGAAACATTCTTATCAGAAGAATTTTGAAAGTCAATCATGAACTTTTGCATGTTAGAAGATATTTTCTAAACCTCAGAAACAACTTTTTCAATCTTCTCATTTAATTCCACAATCTTCTTAGTTGAATTTGTTGCCAATGTCTTTTGAGCTTCAAAAACATTAGCATTGGAATTTACTAACATTTCGATCGTTGCTTGATGAGTAAGAACCATATTTTCCCAATTTGTTATGGAAAATGTATTTGTATGCTTAAGAATCTGATCCATCTTTTTTTTTTTAACTCACGAAATTCACCTCGAATTATTAGAGCAGATAAGTCAACATCATCATCACTTTCAATTCGAAAATTGAAATCAGGAATAGAAAAATCATCAAGAGAATCAAGTTCATCACTAACAATAAAATTTGCATCAGGAGACACAAAAGGAACATAAGTCGATGTAGGTTCTAAAATAGTCACACCAATGTTGACATTTAAGTCCACGTTATATGTGTTCTCAAGGATGTCTGGAGTTCTATTCTCATCCTTATCAGATTCGAAAGTAGAAACTTCTGGTGGAGTATATGTGGCTGGAGTAGCTTGCGTCATATAAGGATTAAAAACTCAACATTGCTTGTTTCTTCTTGGAGTCTTTTGGTTGGTTGAATAGTTGGAGGAAGCCACTTTCAAGTTTGGATGTTGAATGTTTGAGTGAAAAATAAGAAAAACATTGAAGGTTTTGGTGTGGTATAAAGATGATAAATTTTGTTATTTATATTGGCTTTTTTTTTTTTGAATTTATGGTTAAAAACAAATGTTTTTTTGAAAAGAAGTAGGAAATTTTAAACTCTTTTTGGTAAAAATGTTTCTCTCTCAGCTTAAACTCGGTACTGAGTTGGTTTGCTTTTTTGAAAAGAGCACGATGTTTGTCAAGCTAACTCAACTCTTGTTGAGGCAATGTTGAGCCGATTTCACATTGCCTGAATTAAGGATGAACATCGGTTTGAAACGGGGAACCGGACCCAGCTAGATTGAAATGGAGAATAAAGAATCGAATCGAATACTCTAGTTCCAGTTCCAACCGGTTCGATTCCTTTTCGGTTCGATTTTACAAGCAAGCTTGCTCTTTAAAGATGTGTGTTGTTCCGAACCTAACCCGAAGGTCCTAGAACTGAAGAACCGATAACCGATTTAATGAGAAATATAAAACCAAGAGTCGAACCGAATACCTTTGGTTGTTGTTATATTTTATTCATGTTTGGTTCGATTCCATCATGCCATATGCTCATCCCTAGCCTAAGAAAGTTTCCCAAAAATATCAAATGCACGTTTGAATTTTCCAATAATACGTCAGCAAAAAGTTTACATTTATTTTACAAAATACATAAGTTATGTGCCAACTTTGTAATCCTAACAAAGTTTGGGGGAATATATGAATTTACAGAAACATACACGCAGAAATCCATACCTGCCTCCCTCGTATACTATCGTTTTTCAAAGCGGTATCTTCTCCACTCCTCCCTTGCCTAGTTGCTCTAACCGACCGGCGATCACCGATTCCGTTGCCAACCGATCTTCCGGGGACGTCCATTTTTCTTTGCCCGCCCGTCTGCCGATCTTTTACTTCCGGTGAAAGGTAATTTACAGTCTTTTACACGTCAACATCTACGTAAAAGATGAGTTTTTGGTAATTTGATCTTTTTAGAGGTTTAATTTTTGCGTTAATTTGATCGTTTTGCTATTTTTCGACTCCTTAGCTCATCAGAACTTTAAATTCGAATGTTGAAACCCTAGTTATTCGGAACCTAAATTGGATTGTCGATTGTTCGCTTTAACTAGCTCAAGTTGGCTCATTCACACGATTAGGGATTGTTTTATTTGATTCCGAGAAAAGAATTATATAGAATTGGTTCTTGATGACATAATTCTGTGGACAAGCATCAATCGTTCTACAAAATTGTAATTTTGTAATCGGTCTCACGAGAATGTCGACTTAGTACTAAATCATATACACATTGTTATCACTACTATTCGTGTTGTTTTTTCAAAAACTGAATCCCTGGTTTTTTGCAATCAAAATCGGATTCTTGATTGCTCTCTCTTTCTAGCAATAGTTGCCTCATTCATGTAATTAGGGAAAGATGTGTTTTTATGAAAGTCATGATCTTCTTTTAGTAACCATTCAATCATAATCATATCCATGGTGCTCTTCTTGCAGAAAACATCTTGTCTCTCAATCCAAATCAAAATTGATCACAAGATATTTAACATTCTGACCTAAAAAGATGAGTTCAAGAGGACATGGACCACCCTATGGAGGGAGGTCAACCACTGAAACACCTGGAATGATGCGCCATGGACATGGTTCATACTCCTTGAGCCACACCATAGATCCACTGCCACACCACCACCACCCTGAGCGTGGTGGTGGTGGTGGAGGAGACAACAAACTGGTGGCTCAGTCATCTGATATAGAAAGACTTGCTGGAGACAACAAAAGACTTGCAACTACTCATTTGGCTTTACACCAAGATTTAGTTGCCACTCAACAAGAAATACAAAAACTTAGGGCCCACATCGGAAGCATCCAGACTGAAAGTGACATTCAGGTTTGTATTTTGCTTATAACAGTGAAAGTTGCTTTGTGTTTTAGATGATATTGATGTAATTTTGTATATTTTTTAAGGTTCGTATTTTGTTGGAGAAAATTGCAAAAATGGAAGTTCATATAAGGGCTGGTGAGGATGTGAAGAAGGATCTTCAGAAGGCTCATAATGAGGCTAGGGCTTTGGTGGCAACTAGACAGGAGTTGATTGGTCAAATTGAACAGGTCACTAAAGAATTTGAAAAAGTCCATGCTGACGTGGACAAACTTCCAGAAATGCAAGGTGAACTTGATGGATTGAGGCTTGAACACCAGAAGTTAAGGTTAGCCAACTTTACTTGATGAACAAAAGTCGGTTGAATTTTCTAAAACTAGAAATTGTTTTTATATATATATTTTTCTATAATCTTATTTGGATTTTAATCGACTCTTAAAGGTCAACATTTGAGCATGAAAAAAGAAAAAACACAGAAAAAGTGGCACAAATGGAAATTATGGAGAAAGACCTTGTGAGGATGGCAAGAGAGGTGGAAAAATTACGAGCGGAGGTTTTGAACGCCGATAAAATCCCACATGGTATTTATTCCTATTTTACCCTTTCAAGAAACTTTCTAGCGCTATTTTTGACAATGAGCATCCGAAGGGCATTCACGTCATTTTCACACACAAGAGACCGAGAACAAGTCCTTGTCACACCTACCTTTTTGATCAAGACAAAAAATTGCAACTTTTGTTTTGTCCCAGTGACTACAACTTGTTCTGTCTTGTCATGTTCTGCACAGTGCATACCAAACACAAACACAAAATACAGTACAACTTGTTATGTCATATCATGTCATGTCATTTATACTTTTATATGGTGCAAAAAACTAATATTAATGTTTATGATGTGTGCAACAGCAAATGTGTATGGTGGGCCCTACATGAACCCGGAGTTATACCCTCCGCCGCCTCGTATGCATAGTGGCGGCTATGTTGATGGGTATGGAAACCATCATCATCATGTTCCGATGGGTGGTGGTGTTGTTGGTGAAGGAATGATTCCTTATGGTGGAGTTCATCATGGACCAGCTGGTCCTGGTCCAGGTGGCTATCCACAATGGGGGAGACCACAGATGGTCCCCTATGGTGGAGTCCATGGACCAGCTGGTCCAGGTGGCAATCCACAATGGAAAGGACCACCATATGATAACTCTTATTCTAGGACTTGAATATGTGATTTCTCATTTTGTGCTATATGCAAATTTCACCCCCTCCCCCTATTAGGTATAATTATAGTTTTATAGAAGGTTTAGATTTTATAGAATCTTGGTTGATTCCAAATTGTTGATATGTGTCATTGTTATTTCATCTTACCTTTTGGGTAAAAAAAGTGTTAATTTTGGTTATTATTCTAATTGTTAGTATTTAGAAGTACATTATCGCTGTCATTTATGATTGGTTCTTTTTATAAAACTATCAAAGAGGAGATGAGGGCAAAGTAGTCATTTAGCTTTTGCAACACTTTCAACTAAAATAAGTTTATATACTTTTTGTGTCTGGTTTGTGTACGATACTTTTCAATTTTTGAAAATTTATTTATTAATTTGTGAAAGTTGTCTATTGTGTGTTTTGCGATTTATATAGAAAGCTACAAAATAAAAATAAATAATCATTTTCTTAGTTAAAAGTATAAGCTCCAATTACAAGAAGTACAAGCCATTAAAACAAGATAACATTAACAATAAGAGAATCGCCTTACTTTATTAGTTATTATAAAAAAAAAAGATGAAACAAATTAACAACAAAAATCCAAGTTTAGATTCAACTAACAACTCCTAATAAATAATTATTGGATAAGTGAGTAGACAAAGTTCATATCAAGGATTCCCAAGATATATATAATATTATATAAGCCTTACAATTACCAAAATAATGAACATTAATTTCCCTGTTGCTTTATAGATAATATGTGGCAAAATTTCACCATAAGGCATGTGTACCTTAGTGGTTTGGTGTGTTACATTCAACCTCGATGTCTAGGGGAGTTAATGTTCATTACCAAAATAATGAACATTATATAACCCTTACAATTACCAAAATAAAGAACATTAACTTCCCTGTTGCTTTATAGATAATATTAGGCAAAATTTTACCGTAAGGTATGTGTGCCTTAGTGGTTTGGTCTGTTACATTCAACCTTGTTTAGAGTTTGAACCCTAGCATATCTATTTTTTTAGGAATAATGAATTAAAAAGATGATATACTTTTTGATTTGTGATACGTGTGAAACATACTAGTTTTAATCCTAACTTAACAAAAACCAATACCCGATAGACAGTGTACCTAATCGAATAGTAGTTTAGTGCAAGTAAGTAAGGTATCGAACACAGAGAATGGTAAAACAATTAAAACTATTACTAATGTTAACTAATAAAAAAATAACTAATAAAAGCAATTATTAAAGAGGGGTTGTTTCTCTAGTTTTGCAAGACTAGAAACTTATACAAGCACTTAAACACTTAGCAAAGAAACAATTAACAACTAAATGAAGAACAAAAGATGATAGAATCAAGAATATTAAAGAGAATTCCGTTTAGATACGGTTCACTTACTCATATAGTTGATTTCATGGCAAGTGCAATGGGTTAATGTGTCATCAATTACCAATTTCTAATGTGATTAGGTTCATGTTCACTATTACTGATCTTTTAGCAAACAAATCAATTCAAGCAGTGATCAGTTAATTAAACTAACAAGTTTCCTAGTATTAAGTTCGAATTATGCAAGACTTGTAATAGTGATTAATTTAATTGGTTGGTTAAATTAATACATATATGGTTGGTCATCATATATAGCTCACACATTAATTTACTTATTTTCTAGTTAACCCTAGGTTATGTTCACAACACTAGGCTTACAATCTTGATGGTCACAAAATCATAAGAGGCAAGTAATCAAGAAAGATGTTCATACAATCTCAATAAACTTAATAATCAAAGAAAAATAATGAGCGTAGATTCAAAGTACGCCCAACATACTTGCGAGCCTTCGGCCTATAAAAGGGTTGTGAGGCTAGCCTTCATTTTCACATCTTGTACACTTTCTTTCTCTCTCTAGCCTCCCTAAACCACCTCGGAGCCTAGGAAACCTCCCTAGCACTAGAAGAAAGCCCCGGAGTGCCAGAAGACTCTGAGAAAAATGAGTTTTTCGATTAAGAATCTTTACCCCCGCATAGCCCGGTTTTCAAGCAAACCTCCCGGTTTCATCAAAGAAGATTATTTAAAGAAGCGAAGCGCTGTCCGAATCACCACCTTATCAAGTGAGTGTATAGTCACTTTCATCTTACACATAGATATGAAGTATTTTATAAATTACGTGTTGTATGTATAAATTATTTGTTTACTTGAAATCTATGCTGGATGAAAGATCTAAACTTCTTTCTTTTCACATCTGAACTTTTTTCTTTTAGATCTAAACTTTTTCTTTCTGAACTTTTTCCTTCAGATCTAAACTATATATATATATATATATATATATATATATATATATATATATATATATTACTTTGAGATCTATGTTGTATGAAAGATTTAAACTTCGTTTTCAGATTTAAACTTTATATGTATTTTATATCTACAAATATGTTCGGTAAAACATGGATAGATGAAATAGTTGGTGTGTGATGAAATAGAATGATGAGAGGCCTCGGTGTTGACGATGATCCAGTCGTCTAGAGGAGTACGATCCAGTCATCTAGAGGAGTATGTATGACGACCACAAACTTTTCTAGTAGGTCCAGTGGAATGCTAGCATGCTCGCAACCTGTAGGTGTTTGTGGATGATGTGTTCACCGATGTACTCCATCCCCCCATGGTTGCCTTACGGACCTATATGGCTGAGGAATCCCCTTAGCAGTAGTGTCCATCCTGATGAAATTCCTTAGAATAGGTCCTGTATAATAGATGCTTTAGGAACGTAAAGTGACGCTAACGGGAACAAGTAATCAGGTTGAATGATTCTTGAAAAATAATAAACTTATTTATTGTGGGTTGAAAACCCTATATGCTCACCAGGCTCCCTAACCTAACCCACTCAGTTTTTTTTGTTTCACAGGTAATGACAAAAGAGCATAGTTGGATGATTTGATGAGAGATTATGTATTATAGGCCAATAGAAGTAAATAGAAATGTTGTAAGGCCTATGTTGCTTTTGGTTTATGCTTTTGATCTATATTGACGAAGACATCCCGAATTTTGTAATGTAATAAAAATACATTTCTTCAAAAATGATTTGATAAATTCTTATCTATATTTTTTGGGAATAAATTCTGCAACACTTTCTTTAAAAAGTTACTTTGATTTTATTATAAAGCATAAACAAAATCGGTCTTTTATGGCCGTGAAAATGGGGATGTCACAATATTTGAATAGGTAACTGCTTCGAATATCACCTCTACCAGTCACATATACATCAAATAGTGACAAATCTCAATTACAACTCAAAATACCCATAGGTCAAACTTGGTCGAATCCTAGTCAAAGTCAAAAAGTCAACCGAGTCAACTCAGGCGAGTACGCCTAGCGTACTCAGCTTATACGCTTAACGTACTCAGGCCTTGACCAGAAAACAGGTTGTTGACCTCGTATGCCCCGCGTACCATAGCGTACACCCAACGTACGTTTTAACCATCATTTCCTTCTATTAAGAGCTTAATCTATTAAGCTCTTTCATCTAAATTCCAGTTCGAGTCCTCAAATGATGCCTTAACCATAAAGCTTCCAACTTTATTGTCTTGCATAGATATTAAGTGCTTAATACCAAAAACGCTAACTTCTTAACTCATTAAGACATCTTAGCTCATGCATGGAAGGAAACTAAGGTCCAAGATTACATTTTTATGCTTTTAAACACTCCAAAATGTCTGAAATGACATCTTATATGAGTTAGAGTAACCCATACTCATAATACCAAGCTTATGGGACCAAATTGAACATAAACCCATGGCTAAACTAGATCTAAGCATAGCTTCATCAAGTTCATAGTTTTTTACCTTCAAATGGTGTCAAATGATAATGTGATTATGGATCCAAAGTGCTCCACTCTTCTAAGATGTTTTTCCCATCCTTCTTCCTCCTTCAAGAACACCAAAATGCACACTCAAGGTCAAGATTGCTTCACTCAAGAGATTAGGGTTAGTTAGGGTCGAGTTGGAGGATGAAGGTTGATGAATGAAAGGGTTTTGAGGCTATAATGAGGTTTAAATAGAGCGCAAACCTTAAATATTAGGGTTTTGGTCCAGGCACCGTACGCCCAGAGTACGCAAGCCACTCCCAAACCTAAAAATGTTTGTGCGCCCTCTTCTTGGCGTAGATATGGACCAAAGTATTTTAACATCTTCAGACATCTTCTAACTTAAAAAAAACACATATATCTTTATTCTTTTTAGTTTTTTTTTTTAATTTATATTTATTCCAACTTTATTAATGATAAACAATTTGAAAAAAAAAGTTGCAATACTTAAAAAAAAAAAAAAAAAAGTTTGATGACACAAACATGATATTTTTGTCAAATTTGTAAATAAATATTTATTACAATAATGGTCGTTGAAGTTGTTTATATAAATATTTAAAAAATCCTAATATATTCTTATATTTTTTTTTACCAAATTTTATAAAGCATTATTTAGTACAGTAACGTCAATTTCATTGGAAAATATTTATGGTACGTTTTTAATTAGTTTAATTGAAAAAAATCAAAGTTTATTTTCATTAATTTATATATCGAATTCTTTGATTTTTAATTACAGTGTTTATATATAACTATGTGACCAAAATTATTGGTTTTTATCAAATATATAAATTAATTCTTATCATTTTTATTTTCACTTTTTATATAATAATACATAAAAGTTATCTAGATTTGTTAATTATTTATAACAAAGTCATAAAAATATTAAAAAATCATTTTGAAGTTTTAAAAAATCAATTTATTTAGATTTTAATTTATTTTAATAGGTTGCAGATGTTAAAAAACAAACAGTTTTTTTTTTCAAACTGTAGACATTTGATCCACCTCTTCTACTGCAGAGATCTATAGATGTAATCTGCAGACTATTTTACCTCAAAAAAAGCAAACAACACATAAGATAAATTTTCAAGTCAACTTACATCTTACGCCAGTGATGAAATGGGTGCAAATCCAAAATTTAGATTATACATTGAGTTGAAGTGCTTGTTATTATAAGTATAAATAATATGAATATGTTACCATTTTAAATTATATAATACCTATAAATTTCTAGCCATTTTTAGGAAGTCGTGTCATATTTATAAAATGAGTTGATTAAAAAAATACCATATTTTATCATTTAAACATTAAGGTAATTTTATTGGTTAAAACTATCTTTAATATTTCATAAATTTAATAAGAAATTTCCTTATGTTTCTATATAATTATAAATTTAGTAATTTACAAAAAAAAAAAAAAAAAAAAAAAAAAAAAAAACTCTCCCTGCCTTCCACAGAATTAT